TAATAATAATCATAATAATAATAATAATCATAATCATGATAATCATAATAATAATAATAATAAAAATAAAAAATGCCCGGCCGCTGCCTTGGGGAAGGTCTGGAGCAGCGCGTTGACTTCCGACGTCAGAGTCCTGGGGCTGGCCCGCGCCATCAACTGCAAAGTCTGAGCTTCCGTACGACCGACCGAGGAGCAACGAAACCCTAAACCCTAAACCCTATACCCTAAACAGTTTCAGATAAAGACTGCTGGAACATGGAATACCGAAACTTGTGTCTGCGTGAAGGCGACCATCTGATCACAAGAATGGCCAAACGCTAAGAGCTCGGATTGCGACCGCGCCACGTCGTGATTTCCTGTCGGCACTTGTCTCGGCAGTCCATCTCCTGACATCGACTGCTGGCTCTGCCAAGAACCCCGGTACGAATACCTAGGGTTTAGGGTTTAGGGTTTAGCCCCATAAGGGTCCCTGGACTACGAGGCTCTCTCCCTTTGTCCCAGGCGCACAGCGCACGATGGAGAGCGCAGAGGACACGGAGACCACAGCCGTGGTGATGCGGGACTCTGGGTCCTCCAGGCGACACAAGAGTCCTTCGACCATCTTCGACCCACAGCATTGAAAGCCACACACGACAATCCCCCCGGAGTCCAGGTTGGCCAGGTGGGCCGCCAGGGCGGTCCGGAATGTATCCTCCGAAGATTCCTTCAAATCAGATCTGCATGAAATAAAAGACTGAAGTCACTTGGCTTTGGTTTTTTTCACAAACAAGTCAGAGGAAATTAATCTTCCTTTCTGCATCCCTTCCGCAGGCGAAAAGGTGCTTCCGCACGCTTCCACACAACCCTTCCGCAGCATGTGTTCGCTATAGTTCACTAGTTTCCCTTCGGCGCATGAGGTTGAAGTCTTGGCAAGGCCTGCTCTAGAAGGGAAAAGCAGAGACAGGTTTGCAACTGGAGTCTTAGCCACACTGCCCTTAACCTAAGTAAATGTAAGAGCATAGCCAACGTAAAGTTCCAGGATCCCGTGCAACCGACCGAGCGTTGTCTTCAATTCCTCCACCTCTACAACCCATCCTTCAATGTCCTGCTCAACTGCCAGTCCCGCGCTGCAAGAAGGCCCCCGACTCCACTTTAGAGGAGTCCCCTTCCGCGCAGCTTCCGCGCAGCTTCCGCGAAGCTTCCGCAAATATCCCAACACCAACCACCACTTTCTGCTCCACCGAATGCTTCCAGCAGCTGGGGTAGGGTTTGCCATGGTTTGCCATATCCCCAGGCCCCGAACCATAGGGTCAGTTATATTTGTGGCCCTGCTGCGGCGCTGCTCACAACATACCAAGACACACCTTCCGGTCACAGCGCGTTTCGCAGTCAGGTATTTGCACGTTTATAGGCATGATCACACAATTTTCTTAGATCGTGGTGAACGCATGTTCTGCCGGTTTGCCTCCCTTCCTGCTCCTGGACTCCTAGAGTCACCTGCATTCAGTTCAAAGTCCTGGGTGGCTTAGAGCAGATTCACACTTGCTTGCGGCCGATTGCTGCGGCCTAGAAGAATCTAGAAGGTCGGCCCTCTCGAAACAACTGCACCTGTTGTTTCGACAGCAGGCAGTAGGACAAGATGGTGCGGCCAGTCTTGGGCAGGCCTGCGCCGTGCACACAAAGTACAAGAACGGAGACATCCACACACGGAATACTTCTGATCACGACACCACCTGGCCTTTGCTAAAATCCTTGCGAGGTAGCCGTGGCATGCCCAGAATGAGCCGGATGGCGTGGAACCAAACGGTGGTCAGGAAGAACCTGCAGCCAGGAAGGCAACCACGGAGGCCTCCGATGCCCTCTAACGTGCGATTCACCCCTCCAGAAAGCTTGCTTGGACTTCCAGGGCGCTCGATGATGCTCCACAGACAGAACGCATTCGCAACCACATAGACCAGTCCGATGAAAAAGTTAGTTTCGGTGCCATCCGCCTGTGGCAGAGATACAGAGCAATCTCCGACAGTATGCTGGAACGAAACCGATGAAAGCCGCTCAGAGATCAGCAGACGCAAAATTCCAGAGGGAAGTGCTGCCCAGATGCCCAGTACACGAAGAAGGTGAAGGCATAGGTTGCCATGCACGACAGCCTGACTGGAATTCAGCATGAGCGGCGCTATGCCAGGCTATGCCAGCTGTGGAGTGTGGCGGCGTGCGGCCGCGGCACAGCACCACGAAGAAAAGGAAGATCCACGCAGAACTTGGCGTGGCCAAGTTGGCGGCCCAAGTGTTCTTCGGGTCTCTCCTGGGCTCCAAGACATACGCCGATGGCGACAGCTGCGCGAAAGCACTGCATGGCTCTTCCGGCTGTCCAGGCACTTCCCGAAGCACCTCCGGAGGCAGTTGGCGTCGTCCACTTCCTGCCATTCCGCTTAAGGATCTGAAGGCGTGCCACCAAGCATGAGGATCCAAGCCTTCTCGTCGTCCTGATCGTCCTCTCCAGCCAACGGCAGTCCATCTTCCAAGCCTCGGCGACTGCAAGGGGACTGCAATCTGCTGGGCACTCGGCGCCCGAGAGCCAAGCAGGTCGCCACGGGATTGCCTTCCGTGGGGTGCCTGTGCTGCCACAGCTTCCGTGCCACGGCATGGGGGAGAAGTGTAAAGGCCATAGAAACAATACAAAGCTTTTTCTTTAAATTGTTGGCAAGGCCACCGGAACTTCTTGGGCTCGAAAGGCTTGTGCGGCCGCGCAAGGCCCACAAAGCTGGCCACGAAGTACCTTGGATGCCACGGCTGTGCCCACACAAAACAGGAGCCGGGTGCTCGTCTTCGAGGTTGGCTGCTGTGTAATAAGGCTGACGATAACCAGCACCCAGAAGGTGTAGAAAAAGATCTGGCAGGAAGATCGTGCAGTGCACCACTGAACGCCTTGGATAGGCTTCAACTCAACGTCGCGCACGAGCATACATTAAATAAGGTGCTACAGTAGTGGGGCATTGCGGCGTTATCTAACATGTAATGGCCATGCACAATGGAAAGACATCCCTTCCTGCGCTTTTCCGCACGGATATTGCGCAGGTAGCTTTCTGGTGCCAGGGGCACTGGCTCGAGTCCGCTACAAGGTTGCGTAAAATCTGCAGAACACCAGATTGTTTAGGGTGTAGGGTTTAGGGTCGTTTCAGGTTTAGCAGTACCAGAACGCGGCGGTAAAGGCGGCTGAATTCAGAAGCTTCTCGGCACTACATGTTAGCAAAGTCCTGCCCTGGGCAAGGACAATGTCAGACAGCGCGGACATCCAAGGCACGATTCTGCACCAAAAGCCCGTACACGAGTGCACCGTTGATCCCGTCCTAAGGCATCGCACCCGCTGTGCCAACTTTCTCTGGGCATCAGGTGTATTGCACGAAGCTCACACCGAACATACCCGAACCGGGTCCTCACTCCACACGAAGTAGATGGCCTGGACTGTCACATGGGCCCCAGCTGCGGCACCAGAGACACCAGCAAGAAAGTGGCTAAGCTGCCGCGGCCAGCGCACGCCTCTTGTCGGATGCGGGCCGAGTGGTCTTTACTTTGGGAGTTGGATGTCATAAAATGCACCATGCGAAAACAAGGCACACGCGTGGCCCAGGAACATCCCCAAGCAAAGGAGGTAGATTGCGATGACACAATCGTTACCGCCGGTAAGACTGTGCCAAATTCCATCCCAATGATGATCCTTTTGCCATGGCGGAGAGTAGTTGTCAACCGACACCACCCACCAAGTGTAGATAGAGTAGACGCCCCACAGCTGCAGCACCAGTAAACCTCGAGCACTCGAAGTTATGGATGTCCAAGCGAAACAAAAGCCTCCGACAAGACTCCGCCAAGAGGCCAACGGGTTCCGAGAGGGCGCAGAAGAACGCACCACTGACCCCTGTCCCGATGCAAAGGCCGATGGCACTCTGGCTCACGTGGCCAAACGGATTGGCCTTAATTTGACGGGATGTGCCGAAGCAGACTCGATGAGGCACTACCCCTTCAGAACTGTGACCAGGAGACCGGGTCTGCGAGGTTCGGCGTCTGGAGCAACACCTGCAACAAGGGCCATGCTCCCCTGGGAGGGCATTCGCTCCCCCCTCAAGCGCTCTGCTTTCTTGCAGGCCTGAGTCATAGCCTGGCTAAGCGCGACGAAGCCGGCGAAGAGCCGGATCCAAAAACTTAACGACCTGGGTGCGAGCGGCTCAAACGCACTGCTTCCGGATGCTCAGGCTATTCTTCTTGCTTGTTGCAGTGTTTCAGGAAAGTCTTCGTCTCTGTGTCAGTTGCACTGTTCCGAAGAGGGAGGGAGTCGTGTTCGTGTCATGCTCCTGCTCCTGTCTGCTCTCTGCTCTGCCCCTCCCCCAACCACTGCGACTGCGAGGACGACCACCACCACCACCGCCAACAGCATGATACAACATGAACATGACGCTGACACGGTGCCTTTCTGTGGCCCAAAAAACCCAAAGTCAAGATGAAATCGCAGCCCTGCAACCCTTTTAAAAAGACTTCGATACTCTTGAAAACAGTTGCAGGTGCGGAGAAGCAATGCTGAACAGTGCTGCACAGTGAAAGACTATGAGACCCTGCGTCAATATGAATCCCTTGGCAGCAATGACGGGCGTGATCATTCATGCGACTAGGCAGCACGGAAGTCCCGGAAAACTGCAAAAACAATCTACACGTAAGAAAACCATGTCCCCGTGCTTTGCTGGCGCGGGCCGGTTGAGCTATGCTTAGAGCACTAGCATGTTGGCCTCGAGTCACAGCCTTACCTTACCGTCCCTGCTCCTTTGCGTGCAAACGGGAAGCCAGGAGTACGTCATGAGGTATGGCCCGAGGACCAGGTAGCTCCAGAAGAACTGTTCCCATTGGAAAAGCATTGCAAACAGGCGAGAGGCGTAGGCAAGGCCCTGGATCTCAGCCTACTACCGCTCTGAACCAATGCAGCGCAGCCATCAAAGCGATAGAAGTGGAAAGCAACACAGCACAGGTTTGGCAGTCTACTCATGGCGGCTGCCTGGATCTCCTATCTCTCTTGTCGGTGCCTCCCGGCGCTCCTGGCGCTTTTGGTCCGCATGCATCTTCCGCACCTGGACAAGGCTGCGATCGTGAGCCTCGCACGCTAGCCCAGAGCACCCCATCCCACCCACCTCAGGGGATTGGTACTCGAAGACCTGGGAGCACTTCTGCTCGTAGGCGCGGTCGGCGTGCGTCTTCCCATCCTGGCATCGGCTTCGAACTTCAAGCCCTGTTGGACGAGTGGAGGACAGTTGCCACCGAGATGCTTTGTACGTTGGTGACAGGGGCTTCTCCGGGTGACTGTGCCACACGAAGTCTGCGACACGGGCAGCGCATGGCACACGATCCGTGAATCGTTTCCCAGAATGACCCTCCCCACAAGCTCTTCCATCCCGCCGTTGGGCATCAGCCGGTTCCCGCGGTCGTGGACGGTCTCTGCGCTCACCTCCGGAGCAGACCGGCCTGGGCTCAACAACGGACTCGGGAGCGCAAGTCTGGTGCCTCCTGATTGCCTTCCACCTTTGAGAAGCCGGCCGAACATGTTCGACGACAACTGCATCTGCCGCACCATCGCTGTGTCGACTCGAGACTCATCGTCTTCGTCCTGGCAAGGATATACGATGCTGTCGTTGTGCCATGCACTGACTCGAGCACGAAGCTACAAGCCAGCTGCACTAAAACTAAGCTCGGCCCCACTGTGCCTCGACGTAGCCTGCATTGGGCTTCCGCTCCCTTGCCTCCGCATGAAGCACAAGGCTAGGCATCTTTGGGAGGGATAGGCAGGTGAGTGCTACGGCAGAGCCAACGAGTTCAATAACGTATGTCTGCCTGGAGTAAGCATCGGGTCTGCACAAGTGTAGTGTCACAAACTTGCCGGAGCCTGTGGTGCGGGAGCCGGGTAGTTGCTCGCAGGCAGCACCTGGGAACCTGCCGTGATGCAGAAGCAGAAGTTCGCGCAAGATCCTTCATGCGAGAAATGCCAGCATGTCCACCCAGCAAGTCCAACACAGGCCGGCTCGGGCAAAGGAACTGTTGCTTCCGAGCTCGGGCCGACCTGTTGTCCTGCAACAGAAGTCTACATGAGGCAAGATTACCTCTTTCACACGCTTCACGCCGCCGCATCTTCCCTCCCCTTTCAGTCTCCTCCTTGGGAACAAAAGTCTTCGGCATGGCACGCAGGTCCTTCCAAATCGCGCATGGAAAGCAGCAGAGGGAGTGGCTGGACAGATGCACCCCTCCTTCTCGTCGTAGTTGCCAAACAGCTCTCCCGTCGTCTGGTCACGACGTTTTCCTCAGCCGCGATCTGTGTGCTTGGAACAAAGGTGCCTAGCACTAACCACTAACGTCTTCCTCGCGCGCCTGCTGGCACGAAAGAGGCCGCATCCGGTGCTGGAGGCGGCTCGAAGATCGACGAGGTGAAGGCGGCGTTGTACCGCGATCTGCACAAGAGGAACGAGTTTGTATAAAAAGAAATCGGGGGCCGACAGATGTCTCTACAGAGAAAGCGCCCTCGCCTCGCCAGATTTGGTTGCTGCGTCATCGCCATGCTCCTCACGCAGGTCTTGAACTTGAGCTGACATGAACAGAATGTTGCCTCTATAGACGCCACATGACACCACCACACCACTTTTGGATTGCTCTCTAATGCCATCTCGTCGATCGACGAGGTGCATGATTCCAATCAATGGACCATAAGCATAAGTGCACAAGGTGCAACTTACCATTCAAGCAAAACTCAAGTTTGCCGGCCTCTGCCGCAGGCACGGCAGTGAATTTGAAGTACACAACGCTTCCCGAGCCAAAGAGAGGAGCGCGCAGCAGTCCGATACTGAACCCTTCCAATGTGCATGCTACTGGCTGACAGACACCTGCCAAGGACTTTCACAAGAGCAGCAAGCCTCACGCCCTTAGCTGCCTTTCTTCTTCTGCACTGAAGGGGATCCTTAAGAGATGCCCCAAGGGGGGAGACCCTCAGACGTTGTCGGGCCCCTCCGGGAACTCCGGCTCCGGTTCGGGAGGGCCCCAGATGTACTCCAGGAGCTTGTCGTCCCGCGGCTTGAAGGCCTCGGCCGGGTACTCCGTGAATCCGCTCTTCTCGGCCAGGTCGGACAGGTCTCGGCCTCCGAGATACCTCGGACCAAACAAGATCTTGCAAGGTTTGCGCCAGAGACCCCCCCCTTGGGGGCTTTCTTGCGGGCGAGACACTTCTTGCCGTTGATGATCCTGACTCTTACGACATGAGGTCGCAGCGACAGGGGGTGGCAAAGGGTTAAGACGTTTAAGCATGAAACGGAGACGCAGAATACCGAAGGTCGAGCGTCCAGGTGGGATAGCTCTCGATGTCTGCATCACGACAGACAGGGAGCTGTTCTCTTTTCCTGGAGGAGCACTCCACGAAGGGTGCGACCTGAGAATCCGACATACCGCACCAAGCGGCCAAAGGTCCTTCTTGAACGATCTTGGCCGGGCCTCCACGGCCTGCTTCCCGAAGCTCTCCCGCTGCTCTTGGCAATGGGGACACCACCAGGTCCTAAGACGACGCTCTCTGCGGCTTCTTGCGATTGCGGCCTCCCCACAGCTTGGCGCAAAGTGAAGTCTGAGCCTCTGGCGAGTAGCAGGCGGCCCCGATCTTCTGCAGATGTCTCGCCAAGGCCATCTCGGCCTCCCAAGCGGAGTCGAGGTGCAGGATCGCGGGATCCAACTCAAGGCACGGAGGCCACACAGCCCATGCACGTGCCTGGCCTTGGAGGAATTGCTAAGGACCGGCGGGTGGTTCGGCTTGTACTTCTCCACGAGCCTGACACAGAGACAGAGACAGAGACACAGAGAGAGACAGCTTTTGGTGCGCTGGCGTGCAGTCCGAGCAGCGTGAAGTATGCCCAAGCGTTCTGTAGCCGTCGGGAGGGCATGGTGCCCCCGCGCAGAGCGCCCAGCGCCAGCACGCCTGCGAGGCCGAGCACCGCGCGCCGGGGCTCCGCCTCTTCCTCCTCGGCTGCCGTTACCACGGCGGTGGCCGCGGGCGCTGCGGGTGCCACGGCCGTCGCAGCGGCGCTGGGTGACAGGTTCTCCACTGCGACGCCGCCGGCCACGGCCAGACCCTCCGCCAGACCCTCCGCCGGGCCCTCGTTGGTTGGGACGATCGTGGCCTTCCGCGCCTCGAGCAGCCGCGCAGCATCGCGGGCCCGCCGTGTCTCCACCAGAGTGAGGAGCATGGCCGAAATGAAAGCCGAGGCTGCGCAGTATGGGCAAGGTGCCTGTAGGACGAAGATAAGAATACCGGTTAGGCCCAGGGAAGACAATGCCATCGTCAGGCAGAGCCAAAACACGAGTTCCTTGTTCTGGCGCGAGACACTCAAAGCTGCAACAGTTAGGTATGCCACCAAACCCAAGGCTGACAACGGCAGAGGGCCGATAGAGGCATAGCTGGAATTCAGCACCTGAAGGCGGGATGCACACGAATCTCGGCTTTCCTCTCCACTCTCCTACTTTGCTTCTCCGTGCCTCGGTGCAGCCTCCTTCCACCGGGCAGGCCAAGGGCACCTGTGTCACCTTCGAGTAGGTCAAGTACGCGCAGTCCACGGCACCAAGCCCCGCGACGGCTCCCACGGGCCAGAGTGCTTGCATGGCACCACAGGAAAGGACTAAAAGGAAAAAGCTGGCGCGCGCCCGGGCGGCTTCAGCAGGCTCCTGACAGTTCTCAGGAGCCCTGCAGCCAGCGCGGCCTAAAGGGAAAGCCTTCGCGGCTCTGGTGGTCTGGTAAAAGCAAACATGACAAAGGCCCTGCAGCTGCAGTACGCCCCCAACACACACACCTGGGATCCCAGTGGTTTTGCTACTCCGCGGTTGTGCGGTCTTGGCCTGTAGGCCTCGTTCCATCACAGACGAAATTGAGGCCTCCACAACTACCCCAACCCAACGTCATGCAATCACCGACAGTAGCTGGAAAGCAGCAAAAACCTACTCTTGGGACTCTTGGTATGGTGTGACGACCGATAGGATGCACTAGCTATTCTTCTCACTGGCAGAAGCATCAGGCTGTATGATGTCCCTGCCAGAATGCTGCCCTTTAGTTGAACATGGTCCAGAGTGGAGGTCTTCCGGCGGCCCATGCTGCAATCTCTTGCGCAGTTGGCCATTCCATCGTTCTCTGTGTGTTAGTTCAGCAGGGTGAGCCAAAGCTTGGGAATTCTTCCCCCGGAACTCTACGAAGCTCTTGGTTTCGTTTCCGTACAGGGGAAGAATGCCCGAAGTGGAGCAGCGAGCTCCCAATTTGTGGCATTTTCAGAAGACCGCATCCTTGGCTGAGAATTTCAGCGGGGATCGAAGTGAAGCGCTTGTCTCTGGAGCAGCTTTCCCGACCCTGACTAAACCCCCTGTTCCAGACCGAGTCGCAGAGCATAGTGTCTTCAATCTTAGAAACGGCTGAACTGCGAACCACACTGGAATCAGAATTGGTATCTGAGGTCCCGCACAATCGCATCTAGAAGAAAAATGACGCCCCAGCTCCTTCTTCCTGCGATTTTGAGACTCGGCAGGAGAAACGGGAATGACGAGCCGCAACTGACATTGCACTCTGCGGAATCGGGGCATGGAGACTTATCTGGATCACTCTGCTTGCTCTGTCAGCTTTGCTATTGTGAATGCTTGGCCACGCGTCCTTGCAGATTTTCTCGAAGTACTCATAGATGATGGTCACCGCCTCTCACACCGCACTCCGACTCACTCAGTTCAACACTCCAAGGGCAACCAAGCCCCGTGCCAGCAGGATCCCTGTTCCGCTACCTGAGTAGTCGCTACAGATGGCTCTCCCCTTGTCCAAAAGCGCGAGGTTTTCCTGCCCGTCGGCTTCAGAGCTGAGCCCCTCGCCGATCGCACCCAGAAAGTCGGCGACAATCGTCAGCGCTCCAATGCAAGCACCGCCAAAGGCAGCAGCGGTTGGGATGTAGCGGTTCAGGACCTTCGAGAGATCGCAGGCAACAGGCATGGCACCCACTCGCGTGTTGGGCTGAGGAGTGCGCAAGACATGCTTTGTGAATTTCATGATGCAGGTGTTTGCAAAGGTTTGAGCATGGCCACAAGGCGCGTGGGACGAAGTCGGCTCCATGCAGACCGGCAGATGAGAGCTGCTCAATGTAGGGTTTCCCACTTCAGACTTGATATTGCCTTCCGGCAGTCTGCATGCTGCAGGTCCAAAACCATCGCTTTGTTCGCTCTGAGTTCTGTGTTGAGGAGCATAAACCCTTGCACCCAAGGACGTGCGGCCGATCCCGTCCCACTGAGCTCCATGCCTTGGGCAGATCGGAGTCTCGGTAGCCTGAGCCCAGCGCATCGTGTGGAGAAGGAACGCGCATTTTTCGGGGAGAAGCGCAGGCAGCCCGTGGCCTGGCATCATGAGCTGCTGCTCTCGCAGCTGCCTCGCCACATCGCGCGCGGAGGAGCCCGAGACGTCGATCCATGCCTGTGCAAGACCGGCGAGTCGCTCCGAGGCTCCAGACGTCCTCAACCCCAACGACTCAACACTTTCACAGCTCCGGGCTTTGGAGAAGAGCGCGCAGGAGACGAGGATGAAGACGACCTCGCATGCAATGCCGTCAGCCTCCAGTGTCCCACTCCAACAGAGCCAGGTCCCGGGCATAGAAGAGAGCGTGGATGGGGTCTTCCCAAACCTCCCCGAAGGAGTGCGGTGGCGAGATGTAATACCTCGGCCATCCGGACTCTGAGTTGCCTACTTGAGACGAACCGAAGTGCAGCCTGCGAGGAGTCAAGAACGCATGCGCGCCATGCCTGTGTGCAGCCTCTCTGCACGAGTCCACCGACAGGAATCGACTGGCCGGTGATCTCCGTCTCCTCATCAACTCACAGAACGGAATTGGAGCAGGCTTTGGAATCAGGCTCAAGAGTTTAGACTTTTCTGGCTGCTACCTCTCCCAATCCAACATCCATCAGCTCCGGTCCTGCCACTGGCCGATCATGTTCACGAACATGTTCGCCTGACAGATCCCAATACACCCAGCTGTTAATTGATCTGTCGATGCTAGTTCTCGTTGCATGTCCGAGCGGGTCTCGTGTCTATTCAGTCTGTAAGTTAAAGTACGTATGATCATTGTCGAACGTTTGCAGCGACCACCACTGCCACATCAAGAAATAGGCCTTGAAGCGCTTGTAAAGCAGCCTCGGCACAGAATCGACCGTGAGTTTACATACACCTGAAACCTTGATGAACCATGGTGGCCAAACAAAGATGCAACCGAGGCACTGAGAGAAGAAATACAAATTGGAGACCAGCGCCGTCTGCGAGGCAACAGGAAAGGACCAGTTGGTTTGGGGCCAGGTTGTTCAGGACTTCACACAGATTGTGTCTCGACGCAGCGTCGCCTGCAGAATAATCGGGATGTTGGAGGTGTAGAACAGCTTGATCGGATACGAGCCCATCTGGCCTCGGACCTTGCAAAGAAAATACGCCATTGCAAAACTCCTGAAGATGTGCGTCACAGTTTTATTTGAGCTGTGCAACCCTTTGGTTCTTGACGGCGAGGTCCACACGGAAGCCTGGCGAGTCGTATGCACTTACATCTATCCTGAGATTCGAAGGTTGAAGATCGGTTGCGCATTTCTGGCCTTGAAAGTAGATCACGAAGAAGAAGACCAGAATCTCAGCATGTGCAACAGTCAAAGCCAGCTGCAGACACTACAGTAAGACTCTACTGTATCTTTCGGTCTGGTAGCTGTTGCGAAGAGTGAGGTAATGTTTGGAGCGGTCTGCCGGTAGAAAGCTTCTTTCAACGCAGTGATCTTGTCGCTCCTCAAGGCCCAACGGCTCCAGGAACCCAAGGCCAACATCTGAGTTCTTCCTAACAAGCCCCAATGCGCCGGTCCTCGAGATCAGCAGATGGAAGAGTGCAATCACTGCACCCTCAAACTCAGGTCCTTTGCCTGCACAGTACTCAGCTAGACATTCTGTTCCATGAACGTGGGCTTGCCACGCAACGACTTCGCCAACTCACCGTTAACCGCCGCCACTTTGCCTGTGTTCATGGTGGTTGGACTGAAGGCTTTCCAGCAAATAGTCTCACCTAAGCTCGGGCATGTTGGCGGTCTTAAGACCACGCGAAGGCTAGATCGAGTCAAATATGAAATCTTGAAAGGTACATGGTACAGTCAGCACATATGACAGAAGCCTTTGCCAGCAAGGCTCAGATGTTGGTCGCAATAAAGAGGGAGATGCCTGCCCACGCGAACAGCAGCAAACGACCGGATAGCCTCCAGCCGTGCCTGCCTGAGCCCAAGCCATAGCCTTTCTGAAGCAGTTCATCCAAAATCAGCACCTGGGCTGTGAGGTCTCTGGGCGGAAGAGTTCTCTTCAGGGCGAGGCCCCCGGTTCCCCCCAGACCACTCGGCCGAGGGGCGATGACCCCGGCACAGAAGAGCTGCAGGATGATAAGGATAGCGTTGCCGGCGCCCAGGTCCTGCGGCTGAGAAGCAAATTTGGGGTGGTCAGTGTCTAGAGTCTACAATGCCTATGGTAACATCGCCTCGAACAAGCAGGTTCTGCCATGATCACGGCAAGAGTTGGCACCCGCTTCAGAAATCGTCTAGCAGGGAACGACAAGTGACGTGTGGCCTTCACGGGGCCATACATGCCACTCAGGACATATGCCATGGCCTGTCCCAGCGTGATGACCTCAGCTCTAGCACGCTCGACCAGGACTGGATTGATCTGAGATACGCAATTAGGGCTCAAGTAACCCGGTCGTCTGGCAGCTTTAGACATTTGTTTCGCATGTGAGTCATCCACAAAATCAGGTTTAGAGCAGCTTAATGAAAGCTCGTGCTGAGATTTCAAGTCTTTACAGCATCAGTGTCTCACCCGCTTGCCTGCGCATGCACGTTCTGTGCAGAATCCCACCGACGAAGCAGTTCCGACAATACCAGGCAGCTCGAAGACATTGACGTGATGTTACCCGAGGATGCTATGAGGAGCATAACAAGTGCTCCTGGATGCTGTAACACGTTCTGTTAAGTCGGACAGGCTTGAAAGGCCTGTTCGGGCATCGTATTGCCTCGGAACGTAACTGGCCACTTCTCTTGTTGTAGCAGTTTCCTAGGACGACCCAGGCCCAGCCGAGCTGCCATGCCGAAGAGCTTCTGTGCCGCTTGGAAGAGCATTCTATCCTCCTGGCATATGGGTTCCAGGTGTGACCGAAGAAGGAGAAAGCCTTGGACAGAGCAGCCTCGCCCCACTACATCTCACCGTTGCACATTTCCGCAGCCCCGAATATCCTGCCCTTGAGCCCGTCGCCTCAGAATCAGAACACGCCCCCGCCCCCGCATCTCGGCTGTCCTTCTGGGATTGGTCCACCTCCAGAAGCTTGGACCCGGCCAGCAACTGCATCACCATGCCTGCAAACCAAGCTCTCACGCCGGCGATGCAACGCCATGCACAGCCGCACAGCTCCGCTTCCCGCATCCCCTCCCCGGACCTGAGGTTACAATCGGAGAGATGCCCAGCTCCATCAGAGTGCCGCGGTTCGATGCAAGGATCACACGCATCCAGTAGAAAGGGTCCTTGAACAGCCCACGGTTCCGCAATGGCAGAGGCACTTCGGAAGTTCCAGCACAAGAAAGCCGAGAACATCTGCTTAGCTGTGCAACCTTGCCGGCACCGAAACTTGCAAACAAGCAACGGTGGATTTGTTGGCCGAGATGCCGTACAGCCTCGTGAAAGTGGCTTTTGAGAGACTGGTCAAGCTATCAAACCGCCAATGTCTGCCACCTCTATGACTCAACACCTAGCAGACCTCGCAGACCTAGCACCTAGCTGCCCTGGCCAAAGGCGAGCAAGGCACGGAATTTGACAGCACACCAAGAAGACGAACAACGAGATGCCCGTCCACAAGATCTTCTCACGGAAGGGGATCCTCCAACTCTGCCAACTCTATGCCACAAGTACAGACAAAGACACGAACACTCTCCCATGCCTGCGGTCCGGGGTGGCGACTTCCGGCAGGACACACATGCATGGTCCTGTCAATGCAGTTTAAGATACGCTCGCAAAGCTGCTGTTCGCTACCTAATCATCAAAGATCTAGGCCATCCTTCGCTTCGGATCTCAATCGGGGTGTCAGATCTCCAAGTTTGGGACCAGATGCACAGATGCAGCCAGGCGTCGTACCAGCTCTATCAGCCGGAATTTGCCCATGGCTGCACCTGAGGCACAACCAGATATGAGAAGAGTACGTGACAAAACATGTTCAGAAAGCTGGCACGCGGCACCCTGGACCTGGACGGTGCGATGACGGGCAGCACACAGCTCAAGGCCAACGTCTCCCAAAACTTGAAGCCAGCAATGGCTGCGGTTCCGACACCCAAATGAGAAGATCCCCCATCCCTCGGGCGGTGGACGACCCGGACCCCCTCTGTATGCTGCGAATGGTTTTAACGAGAAGCTTCGGCGAAACCATAGACGGCGCATGGCACATTCAAGTGCTACGGAAGGCTTCAGAGCTCACAGCTCGCTCAGGAGCTCCAGCACCGCGGGATCCTCCACGGCCTCTCGGTCCAGGTGCCGGAGGTCCGCGCCCCAGGAAACGAGCTGCTTCCTCGAAACGAGTCTGCACAAATACAAAGCGCACCAGCGACTCAGCGATCCGAGGCGAACATCCGCGATCCGAGGCACAGCACTTCTGCGTGTCCACCCTCAGCGGCGTACTGCGCCACAGAGCGGCCATCGCCATCCTTCGACTTCAACGAAACGCACAGGGATGCGCCGGTGGGTTCGTCCATCCCGTCCCCCTAAGAGGCCTGGGCATCCGGATCCTGCCCATGTTGGCGGAGGAGCTGCATCGCCTCGGGGAAGCCCGTAGCCGCCGCCTCCCAGGCCAGGCGCTACCAACGACTGATCTTTCTTGGTTTTCACCATTGCGAGGACCAGCTGAAGTAGAAGGCCATTTGACATCAGCTAGTCGGTGCCTCGTGCATCAAAGTGCGTCCGAAAGCGTCCGGTCCTACTTCAGCCGATCAAGGTGTGTGTCGGCGACCCCTACCGAAGCCGCCAGTAAAATCTCTGATGTCCTGCACGGACACCTTCACCCAGCAGCAAAGAGAGCGCAGATGTCTGGCCCTTGTCACGGACTCTTGGTGCTATCCGGTTGAGAAAGCCGTTGGCCATGGACCCTGCAAAACGAAAACAACCCCTCGCTTACGTTCTCCTGCGATGCAGCATGGTGCAGCAGCGACCCGCCGGCATGGTCCAGGGCATGCAGATCCTCGCATGGCTCCAGATGCGAAAAAAAACACGAGCAGGACTGAGAACTCTGCTTGCCACTGCAATCAGAGCGCTGCGCGGCTGGCCAAAAGTTCCCGCAGGACTCCTGTGTGACCTGGAATTGCAGCTTGCTCCGCAACCCTTGTAACTTGTAAGCTGGTGTGGCCTTGCTCGTTCGCCAGCATCCACTTGCCATTCTAAGCACCGACCCTTCCTCAACGAAAGCTGCCCAAGGGACCGTCAAATGCTGCAAAGTGCGCAGGAGTGGCACCGTTGCCTTGGTTGCAACATGACAGTCGATGTGCAAAGTTCAGGAATCGGGGAGCCCACAACCAAAGAGATCATCACTCTCACCAACTGCGGACACTTCGCTGCACTGATCGGTCAGCGAGATCCCAGCCTGCTGCTTCAGCTCCGGCACTGCTAGAGGAATGTAGGAAGGGAGCACAGAGCTTCAAATTCAGGGAATGGCCAACTACGACTTCAGGCTGATGTCGGTTCCTCGGCATTCCGAGCCTGAGCCAAGAGCCGGAGGGAAGCGACGTGACCGCGCATCGCGGCTTCGTGGGCCACGGTCACCCCCCCGGCATCCGCCGCAGCAAGCTCGGCCCGCTGCTCCAGCAAAAAGGCCTAGGACCAGGAGCTCAAAAAACATAGCAGGCACAGCAACTCCAACCTGGGCCACCCGTGGTTTTGGCGAGGCACCAGGACCGTCTCCGAGGGATGGTGGTGCGCAACCACCTTGCCTCACAGACACAGCGCTCAAGTGACAAGTGGCTCCGCAGAGCCCTTCTTGGGAGGCTCTGAACCAAAAGCATACGTGAAATGGGAGATGGATGAGATCTGCCACCCGTATCATGAGACAAAACAAAGCGGTGGTTGTGGCTTGGACTTCCAATCTTGGCTCTGCAGTACCTCGAGGGCCCACCTGACTTCGTGATGTTCCCTTTGATTGTTTCTTGCGGCTGTGTCAAGGGACATTGCTGCCGAATCTGGAAGTCGCTTGTCCTGGTCCGGCAGTCGGGCGTCACATTTACATGTATCCTGCATTGCACAAATTGGCCGAAATTCTGGTACATCTTGGATTGTGTTCGGTTCGGGAGTGAAGCACACCTTTCGCAGGCAAGGAAGCTGGAAGCTCTTGACATCCCGTTGCAACAGTCTGACTGGCTTGTTGGGGTTAAGGGACAATGCCGGCAAAAGCAAACATGTGCAAGAGAGCGCTGCTGTCGCCTCAAACCCCAGGACAGCGACTCCGAAAATATTTGATTCTAGGTGATGCTGCACAGAAGTTGCCAGAGCCCTTCGACAGGGTCGGGCGTTTAGCGGGTCTCAAGCTTCGGCAAGCAAAAACTTGATCCAATCCCAGAACCATGACCATTCCTCAAGATTTCATCGCGGAGTTGAAAGGCTGCGGAGCGACACGACATGCTGCCACTGAGAAAAAAGGCATTGAAAGAGCGGCCGATAGGTTTGAATACAAAAGCGTTGTCATGAGTCGAGCCATGCAGTCAACGATGCTCGAGCCTTGTGCGTTCAAACTGAAACAAAGATGAGTGAGCTTGTCGGTCATTGTACGTTCTGGCGTTCCGGCTCTTGCCTGATTGTTAGAGTTCCCGCTACTGGCTCGGGTCCCTGCAGTTCACACAGCCGCTGCTCCATAGGAGCAGCATGCTACCCCGCCTGCTCCATCTGTGGCTGCTAGGTCAAGCTTGTGCTTCACCAGCATCTCCAAACTTAGTTGCACGAGGGATGACATGTACTTTCTGACGAGACCAGGACTTGCCAACCGTTTCGACCCTCTTTCAAACCTGATCAATTCGTCTGTCTTGGAAATCCTTTCCGTTCTCTGCTGAGGCACAGCTTCCGGTCTCCCACGTTGCTGGCGGCCTCGTGCACAGCCGTCCAGCCTTCGCGGCCCTGGGGGAAGACTCGGGCCTTCGCCGAGATCAGCAGCTCCAGCACCTCTCGATGGCCGTTCTCCACTGCCGACTGCAGCACCCCTTTCACCTCCTTCAGGGAACACTATAATAAAGAGTAGCAGGTGGTGCAACCCGACTAAAAATCTTTCACCCTTCAACAATCCTCCTTGGGCAGCTTGCGGATCTTTGCTGCATCTGCCCCTCGTACTGCATCGAATGCACTGCTGCTGATCTCACCTTGGCCACCTATTGCCAGGTTCCACTCGGCTTTGTTGAACGTCGCATGCCACCAATCTCGAGGAAGGAAGACGATCTCGCCCTCTTCTTGAAGACAGCGCTGCACGCCAGCGCCAGCGCTCTGCAGCTTCTCCTCTTCCACGTGCTTGTGCGGCTGAAACTTCAGCGTCCCCGGCGGGGCGACGTACCAGACTTTCCGTCCTGCAAGGAGCCACCCCCAAGTTTGCCTGTGTTGGTGGAAGGCAACTCCCTTTGCAATGGTGCCTGTGTTCATGTACAAACTCAGGCAGGAGTTCTTCAGGTATGGCGGGATACCATATGTAGATTCGATCTGCTGGCAGAGATCTTTGGCGCAGAATTCGAAGACATATGGGACGCTCTGTTGCTGGAACAGTGAGTCTGCCCATTCACCGAACGTGCTGGTGTTCGCTTCGGGCTTGGAGCCAGCTCTTGACTGAAATTCCAAGTTGTGGGTTAGTCGCACGGTGTAGTTGCCAAAGACACGCCGGAAGGAGGCAAGCGACGCCCGCTCTCTCTCCCACGGCGTCCCCTGGATGAGGATAGGATGAACATACTCGCTTTCGAAGCCTTCCTGCAGAAAGTCCTTAACAGCATCACAGCTCAAGCATAAGCCCTGTCCCAGTCAAAGGCAGCAAACGCTTAGCAGCCAAGAACCGCTTGGACGACTTCAAAATCACATCGCGGGGCAATCTCTGTGGTCGCAGCCAGCGGAATGGCCAAGAGCCACTTCATGCACGGCTGCGCAAAGAATCTTTCTTTAGTTTGGACTGTATCTTGTCTTCTTGACGCAATCTGATGTAACAGCTGCAGTATCGTGTTGTTGAGAGTCCCAAGCCAGCATGGTAAGCCGAAGAAGCTGCGATCCATCTCGAATGCTCCCCCCTGCTCTTGCACGGACCTACATGAGACCAATGCATCTTCGGAATGCTGGAACGACCCTTCCAAATCTTCGAGAATCCACGCACCGACAAACATCCTCTAACACCTTTTCAATGCCTCGTCTCGAAGCTAAGAAACGGTAAAGATTCCCCCCCTCTACAATGCCCAATAAGCCGGGGACCTAATCTTGGAGTGACGAAGTTCTTGAAGTCCTGAAAGTATGTACCATCGCATCCTTCAGTTTCTTCAATGATTGGTGCTTAGGGACCTGGTAAAATTCCGAGCAACCTTGGGGAATCCCAAGCTCGCACCGAAAAAAATCTTGAAAACTTTCAATCACACTACGCATCTTTCATACTGGTCGATTATGACTTGGAACTTTAAACTTGCTGGGAAACTAGACAAACAATCTTTCAAACTTTCCCACAATCTGTAAAAGCTTTACGTGGAAATCCCAATTTCAGGACCTTGACTCAGACCTTGACATTTAGCTTTTGAAAAAATACTTAGTAGCAACTTGAAGCAGACAGTCTTCCAAGAAAACGCTCTCTCTTTTTCGAATGGAAACCACCAGCCATTTGCAACATTCTTGTTTTGGATTTGTTCCACATCTTCGCTTCGCAAGAAGTTTGAAGTTTGATGAAGCACGTGTTTCGTTCTTGTCGCGTTGCGGGAAGAAGAGCCAAAACAAAAACGGCAGAGCAGAGAAACAAACACAAATGCTAACACAATGACCAGACCGTGTCGCTTGTTCCACAAGCTGCACAAAGGCGAAAAATCAATCCAAAGTTTCCAACAACGCAGTGACAAATCCAGATTTTCTAGTGTTCTGTTCTTTATCCTTGTTCAAGCCCATGCCCAAAACGCCGTTGTAGAACGTTACAAACGCTCCAAATTGTCGCAGCGAGCGAAACCTGAATTTGCAATTAAAACGGATCTTTCCGGCGTCTTGTTTCCAAACTGTGTTGTTGTGCACTTCGTTTTTTGTCCGCTCTGCAAGTTGACATAGAGACATACAAAGCAAAAATTTTACGAAGGAACCGGCCTCCGGAGAGATGCGGCCTTTGGTAGGAAACAATCTCTTGCAAGAAGACTCTTGCCGCAGGACACCTATGCCGGAAACAGCCATTGCACAGAACCTATCGCAGGAAACGGCCTGCAGGAAACGGCTTCTCGAAGACTTCGAAGACTACACTGGTATTCTATCCACATAAATCGTCTTTGCAAGTCTTACGATTAACACACATAGGCCTTCCAGAAACTGTAGATTGTACATTTGTCTCTTTCGGGAAAGTGAAGGGACACAGCACCCACAGAGAGCTCCTCCGTTACGGTTCTTGCCCTTCTTCTTGTCCTTGTCACCCTTGCCCTTGGCTTTCTTCTCCTTTTCTTCGCCCTTGCCCTGTCCTTTGTCGCCTTTCTTTCCTTGGGGCTGGGCCCCAGACCTTCGACGAAGGGGGGGCTTAAGGGGGGCTTTAAGGGGGGCTTCAAGGGGGGGCTTAAGGGGGGGGGGAAGGGGGGGGGGG